AGTGATGTAAACCATTGTGTACATCTGAGTAACTTTTTATTTTTTTATTTTTATTGTTAAATCTAATTGTGATAAATAATGGTGCTCTTTGTGTAATATCACTCAGTCATATTTGTAACAAATCTGCCTTAGCATAATTTTACTCTCAGTACAGTATTACTTTTTTTCATGTTTTTCTGTAAGTATATTAGTGAATCTAAACTGGCATTGTAACTATGAACTTGTACTAACTGCATTTTTTTTTTTTTTTTCAAGATTCTTTGATATTTGCTCTCTCAAGCATTTAGTTTTTTACTGAAAAAAAATTTGTTCTTGTTTTTTTCTGCATATTATTTAAAATGTTGGACATTATTGTTTTCATCTTCATAATTTACCACTTTATTTCTGTATTTGAGGAGTCAAATGTACTTGACAGTTCCAACTTAAGACAAGTGACTTGAAGATATGTCAGTCTGACAGCCAGCAGTAGTTGCAGTAATTGTATCCTCCCATTGTCATCTATTAATCAGTCCATTTTATTAAAAAATTACTTAAGTCTTGGCTTATTATTTGAAATGTAGGCTGGAGGCTTTACTTGCTACTTATAACACATCTTGTGACTTGAACCAGCAAACATGAGATTCAGTAAATTCTCAGTAACCTGAATAATGTATAACTCTTTGATGCTCTTGGATGTCTCTCTCTCTCTGTCTCTCTCTCTCTGTCTCTCTCGCTCTGTCTCTCTCGCTCTGTCTCTCTCGCTCTGTCTCTCTCTCTGTCTCTGTCTCTCTCTCTGTCTCTGTCTCTCTCTCTGTCTCTGTCTCTCTCTCTGTCTCTCTCTCTGTCTCTGTCTCTCTCTCTGTCTCTCTCTCTGTCTCTGTCTCTGTCTCTCTCTCTGTCTCTGTCTCTCTCTCTGTCCCCTGTCTCTCTCTCTGTCTCTCTCTCTGTCTCTGTCTCTCTCTCTCTCTGTCTCTCTCTGTCTCTGTCTCTCTCTGTCTCTGTCTCTCTGTCTCTGTCTCTCTCTCTCTGTCTCTGTCTCTCTGTCTCTGTCTCTGTCTCTCTCTCTCTGTCTCTCTCTCTCTGTCTCTGTCTCTCTCTCTCTGTCTCTGTCTCTCTCTCTCTGTCTCTGTCTCTCTCTCTCCCGTCTCTGTCTCTCTCTCTCTGTCTCTCTCTCTGTCTCTCTCTCTGTCTCTCTCTCTCTCTGTCTCTCTCTGCCCCTCTCGTCTCTGTCTCTCTTCTCTGTCTCTCTCTGTCTCTCTGTCTCTCTCTGTCTCTCTCTGTCTCTCTCTCTCTGTTCTCTCTGTCTCTCTCTCTCTCTCTCTCCCCTCTGTCTCTCTCTCTCTGTCTCTCTCTCCTCTCTCCTCTCTCTCTCTCTCTCTCTCTGTCTCTCTCTGTCCTCTCTCTCTCTCTCTCTCTCTCTCTCTCTCTCTCTCTCTCTGTCTCTCTCTCTCTCTCTCTCTGTGGGTGGGGTTGAGTTTTCTTTTGACTCCTCATGTTTGCTGTTACAATGCAACCTGTTCTGATATTGCATTACCGAACATACCTGATTTACTTTAAAAAGAAATTAGCAGGTTCTTTAGTTTTGATTGCTTGTTTATTTCTTAAGAACTATGTCAGACTTATCTGTTGAGTTATGAATACTGTTGGTAATGTTGGTGAAATATACTGCAGTTTTAAGTTTTGAAGTATTTTGATGCAATTGACAAAAAGCTGTTCTCCCAGATATATACAAGATTGTTTTTACAGAAGTACATCCCAGATATATACAAGATTGTTTTTACAGAAGTACATCAGTCTTTTAAGTGTACATTATATAAATAGATTTTGTCAAGCCATGGCTCAGTGCAGCTCGTTTGCCGTTCAGTTTGGCACGAAACAATGTCCAGGTTTTCTTCCTTTTCTGGGTATTCTCACTGAACTACATTGACTAAGCAAAGCCTCGTGTAACTTTTGAGCAATGGTTTGGCCACACTTGGTATAGATCAGTGGATTGATGCCTGAAATACCTCCTAACTAGTCTCAGAATACACATTCTCTCTGGTTACATGTTTGTTCCTTTTAAGTGTAGCTGTTGATCTGCTCTTCACATGCCACTTCATTCTAACAATTTAGTCTTATCACGTACAGTAATCAAACATGCTCTTTATACATACCCAGACCTCATTGAGATTAAAAATTACAGTAGGTCCCCAATTTATGATGATCTGCACTTTCAACATTGGCACTTTGGAACCAATGAATTGCTGAATTACATTACTTACAAATGCTTTTCTACAGTTATGATCATTGCAAATATTTCAAGCATTTTAAATAATTTTTTAGGGTGTTATTTTGTTAAATGCATTTGTACTTTGTGTATGTTCATGTTATACATATAGAGATCCAATATAATTTTAAGCCTGTATTATTAAAAACTTCTTGGTTAGGCTTTTACCAAATGCATTGGTATTTTTCATATATTTATACATAGATGGAGAGTTCATGCTTTGGGGGTGGGGCAAGGTGTAGAGATTGGTTAAGA